ATCCCAAAATTGAAATTATTTCTGGAATTCCCAATCATTCCTTAGCAAATTCGTTCGACACAATTTTCTCAATCTGATGCACGGTTTTCGCTCAAAAAATTTGAAAGCTTTTCAGTACATGATCATAACTATTGTTAATATGACAGTATCACAATACAGAGGAATAGTTTTCAGCTTTAAATCAAATTTCAGAAAAACAATTCATAGTTTATGAGCTTCGTATTCGTATTTGGTATTTTGGAATTATAACTTTTCTTTGTAGTAGGCTATATTAATTTTTGAGAACTTTACCACCCTGTATCTCAAAATTTAGGACGTTTAGGTCATACGTTCATATGAAACTTTCTTCTTAGAATGGGCTCAAGAATCGCCAACTCGAATATTGACATCCAATTATAAAACACCCTGTATATTTGAGCAATGAACCTACACTTATTTGTTCGTTTTTTTCCACTCCAAACTCTTGAACTGGGGTTGTATAATAGATTCTTAAGGATCAGAATATATAGTAGTTATTCAACCATCTAATGTATTAATGGGGGCAATTATTGGTCGAGATATTCATCAATGTTTGAGATCATTGATCGCGATATTGATATATAAGTTGGGTAATAGCTATTTATATAATCGAGGGAGCAAGGGTATAAATTACCTCCAGTGTGTAAAGTCACACATAAGAGATAATGAACCTCTGCCCCCATGATATATATATATATTTGAGAGCATCATCCTTGAAATTATGAGCCAGGCGTGATCTTTCTCTCGATTCAAATCAGCATGCATCACAAAGGTTGAGTGTGCCATAGACAATTGACGGTATTGGGAAGAAAATCAATTTGACACTCTTGTAATACTAAATTTGCTCATTGAGTAATGACATTTGGAAGTATTGATTGAATGAGTTTGAAATATGAGGCAGTATATGAGATCATAATTGGAATTGAAAGAGGAAATTGTTGTTCGTTTCATGATAGTGATGACATTGATTACTCAGATAGCATGGATCTTATAGATCTGCCATGCATGCTGAAATCAATTTTTCACCTCCACGGAAGGATATGTTTTCTTTTTACTCGTGGGAGTGAATTCACAGCTTTTTTTTCTTGAATCAGGGAGCAAACGCTTATTTTTAATTCGGCGGGTAAACAAAAAATTTCACTTTGGCTATATTTCTCCTGCACCAGAGAAAATTTGGTCTGCAAAGTCATTATTCATACGAAAACTACTAATTAACAATCTCCTAGTGGCCATTAAAATCAACTTGTCACTGGAATTTACGACATTTGAAATTCGTCAAAACTATCAACATGGAAAACGAAGTCCTTCGGCATGAAAAACATCAGGGATTAAATCATGTTCAGAAACGTTGATCACTTCCGATTAAGATGCAGATTTCCTGATTGATGATCCCAACAATGAAACGACTTGGTATATGTTTGGTTGCCGTTCTAACATCCTGTTTTAAAGAACTCCAGAAATCGATCAGCTGTATCTGATGTATAATTCTTCATCAGATGTGATGAAAGCTCTTGAACTATCTGTGAATGTAGTGGTAGAAAAATTCTCTATAGCGTAGCTGTAGATAAAGAGTTTTCAGTTAGAAAAAACACGTGACTAGCAAAACATAGGTTTTTTGAAAATTGAACTTCTTTCGTAAATTGAGAAACTTGGGATACAACGGAATTCATTCAAACTGAAGAACAAGAATTCATTTGTTGTGGACCACTTCACTGCGTCGTTAGAGACCTAAATTAATTTTCGAAATACTCCTCTGTTGAACTTCGGTTCTCAGTTCAAACGTACCTTCACGGTCACTATTTGGCGATACGCCGAATGAATGGTGACGTCAGCTCCTATGCTGTTCCGTTATTGGTCAGATAATCTTCCATTCCCACTCACGAAGCAAGGTTGTCAAAAGATGTAAGAGTCCTGTCGTGAAATTGAATCTAATTGGAGGAACCGATCATAATATAATAGTTCATTCTTGATCCTTTCGAGCAACCAGCATGTTTCAAATATTTTTGATACTTCATAACAAAATTTCACTCAAGAGTTGGAGACTCGGCACATTGTGCTGAAGCTGGAAAGGGTCGAGACCACGCCTACAAGTCATGCGCGCGGTGTTGTCACATTCACCGCTCCAAATGCCCTCTAGTGTGAATTTTTATAATCACTATTCACACGAATGTATCATAGGCAATAAGCCACAAATTATAAGGGTACATTCTGGGACAATTGATTCTGTATTGCTGAATAGAAATATTCCCAATATTGTAGCATTTATAGCTGTACTACTGGACTTCTTCAGATCGTCGATGATATCATTCAAGCTACTGATCAAGGGTTATGTACAATTTTGATAATGTTAGACTTCAGTAGAGCGTTTGACACATTGAATTACGAACTATTGCTTACTATATTACACTATATTGGTATCTCTGGAAATACAGTTTCATTGCTAGAGAGCTACCTCAGCAACAGACGACAGAAAGTACGGCTTCAAGAAGAGTCAAACTATGTAGACCTCAAGACTGGAGTCCCGCAAGGTTCTATTTTGGGTCCACTGCTTTTCAATATTTACGTCACACACATATTGAGTAGTTCAAAATATTGTAAATTTCATTTATATGCTGATAATACCTAGCTGTATTACTCCTCACCATACTCTGCGATAGATGATGCTTGGGCCATGATTAATGAAGATCTAGGGTCTTTTATTGATATGGCGAGGGATCACTGTCTCATTATAAATGCAAGCAGATCTGACATAATTGCATTTGGTCCAAAAAATACCAATCTATTATGAAAAATTTAGTTAATATCATTATAGACGATACTCGATCCTATGATTATTTCAGATGAAGCAAAGAGCCTCGGTGTAATTATCGACAGTAAGCTCAGATTTGAGAGATTCATTAATAAACTTGTTCAAAGAGCATACTCCACAATCAAGTTCATTTATAGTAATAGACATTTGCTATCTGTGAAGCTCAGAAAAAAAATATGCGATAGCTTAGTTTTGTCCCAGTTCAACTATGCGGATTGCCTTCATGAACGGAATTCAACCAGTCAATTCAAACAAGAACTACAGAAAGTACAGAACTCTTGTCTGCGTCTGATACATGGTATAAGAAAACGAGAAAGAATATTTTATAAACTTAAAGAATCTGGCTGGTTGAACATGGAAAATAAGAGACAACTGCACTCGTCCTGTATCTATCATCAAATTATCATCATCAAATTTGACCCCTACCTGTATAATGAACTAAAATTCAGAACTGATTAACAAACAATCAATGTACGGTCCAAAGGACTTCTAACGCCGCCTCAATTCAAAACTGAATTTTCCAAACGCTCGTTCAGTTTCCAAATTTGCAATGTATACAATAACTATATTTCTACCCATATAAAATCCCTAGAATTGTCAAAAGTCAAAACCAGTCTCAAGCTAAAGATGAGTGAGAATCAGATCTGTACAATTTCTAAGACCCTCCTTAGTGAAAAAATCTAATAATATTTATAAAAAGGATGTTGTTTAATGTATGTCAATATTGTACAGTACTGAAAATAATGAAGCCGTTCATTATCATTATCATTATTATTATATCAGACTCAAATGAACTCATTAGTAACTGTATATAGTACACCACTATGCTGATGACACGCAATTTATTATCCTTCTACGCCTTCTAATTTGCAGGAGTCACAAATCTCTATTAATGGAGATTTGGATTCACTATTCGACATTTTGTGTGCAAACAACCTGAAGATCAACTTTAGGAAATCTATAATATTGCTATTTGGCTCTAGGAGAGCAATAGAGTTTTCAACTGATCTGAGAATCAATGTAGGTGATTATAATCTTCCTATCGTAATTGAATGCAAAACTTCAGGCTCAGGGTAGATTCAGATCTAAGATTCAAGAAACATGTGAGTTATTTATGTCAAGCAACTCCTCAAGGCGGTTAATTGTATCCAAATAGAGATATTCTATCCACTTATCTCAAACTCAAACTTTGCGAGTTTCTATAATTTCCTCTAAGTTATCTTACTGTGACGATATTTATGATTCAGCATCACAAGCTACCGAATCTCACCGCCTTCAACTCGTTCGGAATTCCTGCTCGCAATTTTCTCAATCAGCTGAAATAGTTGCTTGAGGTTGGTTGAGATCAGAACAATTGAGACATCTGCATCATCAGCTGACTCAAGTGCATTAAGTCTTGACCACTGGTGATCATGAATACCTTTGCAAATGACTGAACACATTTTCACACATCAATTACCAATACAATAGTCGTGATAGATCCACACTTGTCTTTCCAAGAAACGAACGTAGTATTTCATATAACGCAAGTAGATGTAATCATCCTGATTCTCTTCCGGTATTCGTGCCGCATCACTTTTCACATATTGTTTATGTCATTGTTTTCGCTCAAATATCTCATGCTGATACTTTGCTCATTCGTCATTCAGCAGTTGAGTCTGAATGTGTATGATATTTCGTTATTTTGTTCATTGTTGTTCTGCAGATGATGGATAAGGACGTATTATTATTGTTACAATCGTTATTATTATTATGATTCGAGTTCAAATTATTTCAGTCTCGACCCTGCGGCCTTCGACGCCACGCAGAGTCGTGCTGGATGAAATTCAGTGACTACTCCCCACAGCCTGATGAGAGGTGAATAATCACTGGGACCAAGAACCGTCTGCCCTGAGTTAACGCAATGATCCTAGTATGACGGCCTGATCGTTATTATTATTATTATTATTTTCAATTTTATCATTATCATAATTGATACTATCATCATTAATATTATTATCATCATCGATCTCATTATTGATATCATTGTATAAAAAACGATTTTTAATAAACGAATTCATCGTTAATGTATAGGGGTCATGAGCGATCAATTTCGTTTATATCGGTCCACATTGATAAATGAGCAGTCTATGGAAGAGAATATTCAAACTACATCATTTGCAACCATACTCACCTGTCAATGAAATATATGACCAAGTTCTGGTAGACGCAGAAAATTGCTACGAAGAAGTCGGCGACTGCTAAATTAGCTAGAAAGAAGTTGGTGATTGATCTCAATCGCCTGCTCAACGTCACAACCAGAATAACTAGAAGATTACCTGAAACAAACGATTCTTTGATTATATTTTCCGGAAATAGAAGATTCATATTAATCGTAGTCCCATCTATTTGCCTTTGCATTTATCAGAATTTATTCTACTCATTCGACTGTTGTATACTTGAAGCATTCATCTGCATTAACCATTTTTTAACCTAAATGAATCTGCCATCAGTAGGTGATTCATTCGAAAACTCCGTTTCAACAAGATGAAGAGTTCACGGAGTATGATGTGAGATAATAATTCATTCTGAGTAATATCCAAGAGATGTTTCACGATCGTTCCACAGGATTGATGTTAACTATGAATTTACGATGAAGGGAATACTATGTCAGAACAGCTATGAATCTTCATCAGTACAGAACAAGCGCATCATCTGAACTATGAATGAAAACCACTCATGCTTGAACATATTTTTCTATACAGAGTGTCTCAAAATCAGCCTGCCAGACTCTACAAGCGATTGCTTGGACCAGAAATACGAAGAAAAGGTTCAATGAACATGAGTCGATGGAGGAAGCTCCTGAAGATGATATTGCTTGAATATTCCCGAAACGCGTAGTGATAAAATGCTGTGATTGTGTACAGAAACTGAACTGTTCATGCCTAATGCGGTGAAAGTGAAATCATTCCAAAATTTCATAGAGTGTATAATACAGTGTGGGACTATATTGAATATTGCTGAAACTATTTTGTATGCATATTTTTCGACAATTCAATCTCGAATTATTGAAGTCCACACCTACAAGAGAGAAGTGCTTTTGTCTTCATCACATGTATCATTTTCGAGTGGAATCGATTTAAGAATATTGTTACATCTTATGCATAACGTTGCCGATTTTCGAATCATAGTGGCTAAAAAAGTATTAACTACTTTCTTTTTATCGAATGATTTCATAGAGGAGCTTCAAATAAGAGAATGATGAGGGAAAACGAATCTTTGATTATTGTGAATTTTACATCCACCACGATGTATTCCAATTCAAAGTTGAATATGTGGAATTTAACAATATTTTTGTATACAAAAAAGTTTTCGCAATATTCAATGTAATTTCGTATGATGATTTCATTTTCACGGCATAGGGCATAAAGATTCCAGTTCATGTACAGAATCATTTAGGTCTACTAGGCTTATTTCGGGATACCTTGTGTATCAAAATGTGTACTAGGAGATCCAAAGCTAGAGGCAATCACACTATTGAGTGTAGAGCTCCATTTTTGTGAAACGTCAATTGGTGGTAATCACATTTCGATATCTCTAACCTTTTCCGAGATATATAGAAGAAAATTGACATCTGACAGGCGCTTCCCAACGCACAATGAGATACATCTGTAACAAAATATATATCGCGTATCAATTTTTTGTTATCGAAGCCAACTTTGTTCATATAGAAACCATAATTGGATTTCAATCCAGAAAATAGAAAGAAAAAGCTTTCTAGAAATATGAATGTCAAGATATGTCTAGTCATCCTCAGTATCAGGATATTAGTACATCGCACATCAAGGGACAAAAATGCAATATTTTTTCTATAGGTGCGATTTGTAGTTCTAGGGCGAAGCTCGAGAGATACAAAGCACCGAGGGGAAAAAAAGAATTCTACCCTGAGATGTATATACTATTTTTTACGCTGGCGAAAACACAAAAATTGAGCAAGAATGAAAGTTTGGTCAAAGTGTTTCGCTATAATCAGTAGTAGTAAAGTTTGTGGAAATTGTATCTTGACAACATGCATCTTGTTTACAACTCATAGTGACAGCAAATATCAAACTGAAATTTATGAAAATAGCTTTGAAAATGGTTTACGGTTATGGAACAAGAAATCGAGGAAAAACCCCAAGAAACTTCCGATACTGCTTCTGCAGTAATTCTCAACTTGCTACCAGTGAGATCTAGAAATCTGTATGATGCAGCCCATACTCGCTTCAGAGAAGGGTGTTCCGAAATGTCATTTAGACCGATGAGGCGAAACTAACAAGCAATGGAATAAACATAATCGGCATAATTTCATCGTATCCTTAGACGAAACGAGCTATTTTCGGTTCCATTTCGTAGCACATACTTAGGAATAAACTCACCACAACACAGAATGTCAACCTTTCATAACAGAAATATTTTTCTTTGAACGATCTATTCCAGTTCTCATTGTTTTCGAAATAAAAATAGAGAGATTTTACTGAACAAATAATCAACAATATGTCACATAATTGCCATTCTTGAATATATAGGCTAGAAATAGGTATTAGATTTTAGATTAGATCTCATATTCAGTCTTCTGTCATGAAAAATGCAACCAAATGGATAATATGGAGCAGGAGTACTTTGAAGCAACTATTTTAGGTAGGTAGGTAGGTGGTTTGAGTGGTCTTTTTGTCGATGACAAACACCAAATCATATACTTTGTTATTTTGGTTGTGCAATCCATTGAAAATATTTCCATATGTTGCACACTCAAATGACCACACTGTATACTGGGTCCTATTTACTATACTATCAGCCCCTCCTTTCAAGACAATTCCTTTCCGGAAACCCTGTATATAATACTTGGGGTCACAAAATACAGGATGTTAACTCGAAGAAAATTGCCGATGCCGTCACCACCTAATTGTGAATCACTCAAATTTTGTGGTAAAATGTATAGCCTCGTGTAGGATCTTGAAATCACAAATCACCATGTTTCAGATTTCAGAAAGGCTCTCAGTTCAGGAGATATCGAATTTATTCCATACTTCACGGACACAGTGTATTTATTATACGTCATTAATTGGGATATCGAATTTCCTAATATCACAATCTATCACCTGTTCGGGCTCACATTACCTTTACAAAATTGCTCTTTCAGAGGGAATTTAATGCCACGTAATCCAATATTTTTCCTTGAGCGGTTACTGCTCCGATGCACATATCTTCAATAAAGAATTCTCAGCAAAACCACCGCCTATACATACCAACAGTTTCCCAATGTAATCGTGCCAAAATCCTTTATATAGGGTGTATCTGAATAACACCAAAAGAATTCAAGGTTCAAGTGTTTCCTTGTGACATTCTAGCGAATAAAGTTCATATGAACATGTGCCCTAACACGCCTACATTAAAATTTGGAGTCGAATCGAATTTTCAAAATTAGGCTGGAAACAAAAATCACACAGATACTGAGGAAGTTGTTATTTCAATAGTTCAATCTTATGAGAGTACGAATTTTTTGATATTCATCATATTTAGAGTGCAGCACCCAAACATACCCTCTGAAACTGTTGGATTCTGTCCAATAAAGGGCAATTCGTCTCGTGGGTGATGCCTCGCTCACGAATTCACTCACTTCTTTGGAACACCGTAGAAAAGTTGGCGAACTGGCTCTATTTCATAAATATTTCCATGGACGATGCTCTTCTGAAATATCAGCAATTGTTCCTTCATTGGCAGACCCAGCGAGATAAACCTCTGGAGTTGAGGCTTTGCAACCCTTCGTGGTCACTTTGGAGACCTGCAGAACATCTCTTTCCGAATACTCGGTCATCCAACGAACAGCTCGGCTCTGGAACACATTGCCAAGGAAGATGTTCTCCAAGGCATTCAACCTCCAGAAATTTAACAATAACACCATTTAACATCTTATTTCTCTTGGTTCTCACGATGTTCTCTGAACATTACAGGAAATACCTTTTCGTGAGAACCGGAACATAAAAAAAAGATATAATTCAATGTTCAACGTGGCAAATAGCCAGGAAAGTAGTTGTTTTCTGTTGAATATTCAGAATGATATTATGTGCATACCTTCATATGAAGGAGAATGCAAATTGTCTATTTCAGAAGATTTTGTTTTCAAATTCTCACCGTGTGTGTTCAATAGATATAATTGGATTGTCGTGGCATATAGCCAGGACTGTTGAATAAACCGATTAAGAATTAATTATTTCATCACATAGAGAATGCGAATTCTCAATGTATTACTTCATATATATATATATATATATATAAAACTAGGGAATATTGGGGACTGCAGCAAAGTCAAAAAGAGTACTCTTTAAAGTTGGTCCAAGCTTTCGAAAATCTTTATTTTCATCATCAGGGAGTCTGTAAAGTGATTATTCATGAGTATCATGTAGTTAAAGTAATGAAATCTTGTGTACTTACAACTTTGTTGAGGATGGCTGACATGATGTTCATGTATAATTTCTTTATGTGTCTTGGTAACATAACATGAAAAAGCCGAAAATCATCGATAAAAATACAATTACATTACATTGAATCACACGTTAAAATATTATAAACTAGTTAAAAGTCACATCTTCCACCACATGGTTGGAATTGTTAGCAGATAAGGTTATTGCAAATGGTGCCGGGAAATGAGTTTTTTTGAAAAATGAATATGACTGACATATGACAGTGTGTGTGAAGACAATTGTCATGTCAAAATGCACGAAACAGTGGTACCAACAGACAATGCGTACCAACGTTGAACACTGAAATTTGAATTGATTATGAGTTATCTAAAGACAGTAAAAAGGAATAAATCTCACTCAAATGATTGATATCCGTTTTTTTATTTATGCAATTATTGCATTGTGATATAAAGGCCATTTCTAAGAAAGTTCTTTTCATCAGATGTTTTTCTCGTGATAGGATTTTAACAGCATCAAAATTCATACGGTGATCATATTTATTCACATGTTCTGCAAGTGCACATCTTTCTGGGTGCAGTCTGCAATCACTCCTATGTGAGATTATTCTATTGGATAGTGACCTATATATTGGTTGTTACAATCATGGCACGGAATACTATAGATTACATTTGTGTTAGATAACAAGGGCACTTTATCTTTGATTTTAGTGTGCAAGGATTTGATAGTTACTACTGTTCTGTATGCTATTTTTAAGTTACATGTTGATGGAAATAATCTGGTCAGTTGTGGTGTTACCTCTCTTATATAGGGCAGTGAAGTGAACATGATTGGCGCTGGAATTGTCTCAGGGATTGTTGCAATTTGTTGTGGATCTGGGTTGTTAATTGAATTTTCAGGTTGATCAATGGATGGTGCATTAAATAATATTGATTTTACTAATTTGACCGGATATGAGTTGTCAACTACATGATACTCATGAATAATCACTTTACAGACTC